CGTTCTATATCCACAGCTTTACTAGATGCAGCCACTGCTAAAAACTACATTCTGGGGACAAGGGTGATAGATACCTGGCCCCTTTTTTCATCTTGCTGACGCCTCCCATTAGCCACACCTAGGCAGGGGCGTCTGCGAGATGCAGTCTTGAAATCCAAAGAGGTCAGTACTCCTGAGGCAGAAGCTGTCAGAAAAAGCCAAGAATGGATTTTTAGGCAAATGCACGTGACTACACAAACAACTACTCGGAACTCCAACGTGTAAAACAGAAACAGGGATAAACGGGTCCCCAGGCAGTTTATTCTTCATTGTTTCAGGAAACATCCTCCACGGTTGAAGGATTACTTACAGCCTCCCCACAATAACTCTGAAGCACTGAGGCTTTGGTTTCAAGTCCGTTAGGGACTTGGAAAAACACATTGTCCTAGACATGAAAAACAAGGTTGATAATTGCAGATTTATAGTTTCTAATTTTGTTTATAATTTCTATTTATGATCTCCAATTTTGATTTATCATAAGTAAGTCTATTTTATGTTCTGATTTTATGTCTAAATGTGCCTGATATAATGACTTACCTTTTTAATTCCTGATGATAAATTTATATTTGTGAGACCAATATCAAAGCGAATGTACTTTTTAAGTTTTTATTAAAAAAAAAAAAAAACAACTTAAGCTCATTATAAGTTTTGGAAAATACAGATTTGTATAAATACCAAAGCACTCATAATCCCAGTATTGTGGTATTTGGGATTATACAATGTCTACTGTGTTAAATTCCTACTCTTTATACTTGAATTTGTATAATTAGGATTTCCTCATGTCATCCACTGTTCTTCCAAAAGTAATGCTTCTTCACTGTTTCCTTTTATGGATATTTTATGACTTAACTTCTTAATTCCTTGTTTTAGAACATTTTTTTCATTTCCAGGTCTTTTAAAAATTATTATTACAAGTAATACTGCAATAAATATCTGCGTACTTATATTTAGGATAATTTCTCATGCTGGAGTTATTGTCAAAGAATATGAATATTTGGGGGACTTATGGTATTAAATATCAAGTGGCCACCAGAATGGCTTTTCTTGTTGATACAGACATTTATTTGTGTATTGAGAATATCTGTTCCTCTTTCAGCTATAATTATTAGGTTGAACCATTTCCATTTATATAATTCACAGAGTTCTTGAGGCAAAATGCATGGGTTTTTTAGATGATCTATGACTGTTCCCAGTTCAAAATTAGATGTGAATGTCTCAGTGACAATGAAGTATAATATTGTATAATGATCAGAGAACTCAGAATTCTCCTTACAGTAGGGGTAGCGACGGCTACCTTAGGACCATTTCTTATAAAGGCTTTCTAAATTAACTGATATCTTTAAACCAAAGAGCACTACAGAAAAAGAAAGTTCTTCTGTAGGAAGTGGCTGAGTGGAAGGAAGAGGTATAATCTAGGTACCTGTTTCTCCATAGATCCATTGTGGTCCAATAATATAGATTATCAAGAAGAGTGGATGGACTTTGTTCTTGAAGTAATCTTCCTTGAATGTTGTAACTCTCAATCCAGCTTTGAGGCAGTGAGGTCAAGGTATTATACCCTGACAAAAGCCTGTAGTGTAGCTCTTCCATGTTGTCAGATGAGTGACTGTGGCCCCTACTCTTTGGAAGATAATTGAATCGGAAGTAGGGTCCACATTCTTTTATGGAAGCTAAAGAGCCTAAAAAGCAGAAACAGTATATGGTAGGTTACGTCCTTCATTTTCTGAATTGAGCCAAGGACTCAATGCTTCATAAATATTGTTTCAAATGGACAACTGCGTGATTCAGACCAGGGATCAGCCAACTGTAACCCACTGGCCAGATCTAGCCCACTGCCTTTTTTTTTTTTTTGTGGTAATTAAAGTATTACTCAAACATAGCCACGGACATCTATTTACTATTTGTGGCTGCTTTCATGCTGTAACAGCAAAGTTGAGTAGATGTACAGAGACCATATGGCCCGCAAATTCTAAATTATTTGCTATCTGGCCTTTTACAGAAAATGGCTGCTGACCTTTGTGTAGTTCACTGCATGATCTGGACCCATTTGGTATAACATGGCCAATTTATTTTTAGCCTGAGTAACCAAATCTGTAGTTTTCTTTTAATTTTGGTTTTCAAGAACAGACAAATATCACATCATTTCGTTGATTTTCTTTTGTTTTATATTTCGTTGATTTTCTTTTGTTTTATATTTAACATATATTCAGGGGATTGCCACCGAATATCACCTGTGTGGCATCCTTACAAAGCATCTGTATCTTGTACAGTACCACTCTCACGGTTTTAAATGTATGTGATTAACGTAGTACCCAAATACTGTATAGCGCTAGATAGTTTTCATAAGATCATGCACAAAACGTGAGGTGGAGTGGAATATTCATGTTGTGTTGGAGTCTGTACAAAGTCTAATATTACGGAAGGTTCTCTTAATTACATTATTTCAAGCAAAAGTACATGTCGTACTATTAGGGTACAGCACTTCAGACTGACATCTCAATGAGTCCTGCTTTTGACCTGTTACGTGCCTTCCTCGTAGACTCCACACTCCTCTGTTTTTGCTCACTGTTATATCCTCAGTCTTTACGCAGTCCTCGACATAGAGTCACTGGCTAAATATTTGGTGAATGAATGTTATCAAGCATATCCTGGAATTTGTTGTATAATACAAGATAAGTATCTTAATTTAATTTTTCCAAATAGTTGACAAAATGGCTAGCACTTTTATTAAATGCTCCTTTACTAATTTCCCCCTGGTTGGAGAGCCAGCATTATTAGCTACAGAATCGGTGTGCTTACACTCTGGATTGCTTTTGGTCTTCATATTCTGTTCCATTTTCTCATTCTTTGCAGAAATACTATTAGAATATATATTAAACATTGATGGAATAAATCAGATCTATCTATCAGATCTTCAGAAATTCCTTTACTTTTAAACTTATTCAAGAAAACATTTGAATCACTTTATTAATTTCCTTGAAAGAACTTCTTTGTAATTTTTATTGTAATTACATTGAGCTAATTAACTTGTAGAAATGTAGCAAGTTTTATCACATTCTTTTAATCAAAGCTTATGAAATATATATGTTTAATTCATCTTTTTTTCTGACTTCTAAATTTTATAGTCCCCTCTATTAGTTACATAAGCACCCACCTGTAAGTAACAGAAATCTTGACTAGAGTAGATTAATCAAAAGCTGCCACAAAGGTTATGTTAGCTTTGATTTAAGTTAAGAAGAGTTCTTTATTTTTCTATTTTCAGAAATGACTTTAATAAGAGAGCCTTAATGACTTGCATAAGGTAGAAATTACTGTTCCCTGAAAATTTGTTATTACTCAGCTATAAAACCATCTGTGCCTTTGTGGAGGAAGATTTTTAATACCTTTTATAACAGATATTATTCTATTCAAGTTTTCAAGTTTTTCTTGGGCCAATTTTGATATTTTTGCATTTCTCAAGAATTCATATATTTCCTCTAGGCATTCATATTTATTAATTTATATTTCTATAATATAATTTTTAAATACTGAAATCTTTCATATCTATAATTAGTACCCTTTTTATGCTTTCATTTCTTTTAATATTTTTATTTTAGTTGTTTTTCTAGAATTTTGTCTGTAATATTTTTATATTCCTATTTTTTAACTAAAAATACTTATTATTTCCTACCAATATCTTTATTTTTCATCCTTTCTTCTTTATTCATATTAATCAGTTGTGCATATGATATTTATTTTTGATAACTCTTGCATTCTATAAGTATATTTAAAGTTTTGAATATTGCTTTAGCTAAATGTCACTTTTTTTTTATATTTATAATGCCATTGTCACTTAGATCTATTTTCTCTTTAACAGGATGAGGGATTTCCTCTTTAACCCAAAAATTATTTAGTGGTATATTTTACTTTCTAGACATAGGGAACTTGATTTTGCTATCTTTTGGTTGTTGGGTTCTGATTTTTATCGCACTGAGGTCAGAAAAGATATTTCATGTGATAGCTGTTTAGAATTTTTGAGACTTCTTTTGCAGCTTAATTCATAAACGGTCTTGTTTAAGTATTCCTCATGTATGCAAAAAGCACACATATGCTGTGTTCAGGTATGAAATTTATATGTGTTTTACATTTATATAAATAAGATTAATAATACAAACACATTTCTCAATAAACATGGCTTAGGTTTTATCTTCTTATCTTCTAATTCTGAAAAGCGTATGTTAAAATCACAAGCTACAGTTTTTTCCCTGTAATTCTAACAGTTGTAGTTTTATATGTTTTAAATCTTTGTTGTTAGCCGCATATATATTCAGGATTGTTACTTCTTGATTCATTGTGACATCTCTCTTGTCTCTTATGATGTATTTACTCCAATCTCTATTTTGTCTGATAGTAAAAATTCAACAC